CTGTGTCCCGTCGGGCAGACAGCCAGACAGACAGACAGACAGTCAGACAGACAGACGGACTGTTAGCTTGGCCAATTGCAATTGGCGTTAGCAAGTGGCGAGCGTTTCCCACGCTCCTTGACTGCGACTGAGTTTGCAGCTGCGCTCGGCCAGAATGTTGCCCGGTTGGAAGCCGTTACAAGTACATATTCTAATCCGACCGAGATGCCGATTAATTAATAAATATTGCAAGCTGTTTAGTTTTCGAAAATATGTCTCAGTTTTTCAGCTGAGCTGGAGTGGAGCAAATCAACATTATATCATTGAGTCTTTATTGGGTTGCACTATCATAAGACCATTCATATTGCTCGCTAATAGTTTGTTCCCATTTTTTTAATAAAAACATTTATATCAAATACAAATCATGTTTAGTTTCAAGATAAGCTTAATCGGAATAGGTCTGCACGATCGATGCGTTGCAACCCTGAGTTCGATAACGATTGCAAACCAGGATGATATATGAAAACGTGGCCACCCCACAAAATCGAGCTTCAGTCTCCTTTAGCAATTGACAGATCATTCGATCTTGAAAGTGTGAAGCAAGTGGTTCAAAATGGCATCATTGAATACGATTTTCGAAGATTATTCGTTTGATTTAACTTATCGAAAGTATACGAAAATAAAGGCACCGATATATTTTATAGCGGATAAAATTAGAAAATTGCGATACCTGGAAGTTATAGGTAAGCATTCAAGGTGTACAACTATATCTTAGATACATAAGTGCATAAGAGGTTGTTTATATAGATTATTATAAAGCTATTCATTTTCCAGGCAGGCCAGATGAGAGTATAATACAAATAAGTGACAACGAATTTGACATATATATGAAAGTAAACATACCTATTAACGTGAAACCTTTGAGGGTTGATCGGTTTCCAGGATTTGTGATGCTTTTTGCAGGCGTTCAGCATAAAGCCGTGGTGGGCGGTTATGTAAACCGCAAAGCCTTGGAAGACTGGCTCAAACTTGAAAATGGAGGCTCTTTAAAAATACACGAAATTATAAATGAGGCAGAAACTACTTTTAATATTAAGCCAGTTTTCGAATTTAACTACACGGATTGGATTTGGCCGGAGCCGTCGGGATTGCCAGATATTATCTATAAAACGCAGCCGTGGTATGCTTTACCGCAGGCGGCCGCACCTTTTGATTCCCGCAAATTTCTAATATGGATGCCGCACTGGGAAAATATGCTAATGCGTATAAACAATTGCCAAAATGTATTGGATATAATGAAGAGATTGTGTTACGTCAACCAGATGTCAGAGCTATCAGACGAAATCCTAAGGACGGTCATATTAAAGCAATTACCGCTGAAATCTTCATGCACTTTGGATGATTTTGTGATAGACATGTGGAGGAAATTATGCCAATATTTGAAGGAAGCCAACCTGCCCCATTTTGTGTTCCAAAATTTAAACCAATTTCGACATCTGAAGGAAGAAACTGTTGAGACTTATCTACATGAAGCCGTTAATATTTTGGCAACGCTCGAAAAATGTAAGGCTGGTTCCTCTCAAGCTCTCGAAAATTTATTAAATATACAAAAGTAAAATAAATATATTCAATAAAAAAGAATGTTAGCTTGCGATTGAGAATTAACAGCACACTTGGAATGTAATCAATGTTCATTACAATTTCTTATCAATATAAATAAAAATGCCTATTATTGAAATACTTTGCATAACACACATACATATGTACATCAGAATTGTGTTTTTATAGCCTTGCGGATAGGATTTGAATTGTCTTGAAATGTGCAACGCATTGGATGAAACATCTCTGATTTTAGTTTTAAAGCTATGTACATACATCAATGGGGCGTTACTTGGATCGGATATGTCTGTCGAAATCGGCGGGATCGATATACTATATTATCATACTATATTATGCATATTCATAATTTTAAATTGCAGGTATTCGCTATTCAAAAATCTAGTTATTCTCTGAAATCGTATCTCTATAATTAAAACAGTTTGTCCTTTATTTGATGAAGACGGGGTTTCGGCGAAGTTTTAAGTTTTTTCCGCTAGTATAAACATATACATACATATGTATGTCAATACTACAAACAGACTTACATACAGTCTGCGGGTATTAACATATGTGCACACATACATACGTATATATGTACGTACATACATATGTATTCAGACAGCACTAGAATTATAATTGATAAATCAAAGAATGATTAAAAAGAGCGCACATGCGTATACACATGTATGTATGTATTTGTATACATGTAGCAATCTTTCGCAAATAATCTGTTCAGCTTTGGCGGCTTTGTCAAGCGACTCTGGTTTTTATTTCCGGGAAACCCCAGTAATAAACACAGACAATTTGTACAAATGTATTTAAATACATGTGTTGCGAAAACATGTATGTATGTGCATAGAATGTATGTTTGCATTTATATGTGCATACATGCATACACTATGTTTCTTAAATGGCGCTCAGAGAGAATTCACAGTTCTGTATATACTATATGCACATACATTCACAAACATACATATGTTACATACGTATGATCAAATTTGCAGAGTAAGTTCAATTACATACATACATAAACGTATACACCAATATGCATACATATGCATTTTCATACATACATATGAACCGCGATGCGGTGCAACCCTGTGTTCGATAACGAATCAAAACCACGATGATATATGAAAACGTGGCCACCCCACAAAATCGAACTTCAGTTTTCTTTTGCAAGTGGCAGATCATTCGCTCTTGAAAGTGTGAAGCAAGAGGTTGTGTCTTTCGTAGCAAGAGAACCATTAAAATTCAAAATGGAATCATTAAATAAGATTTTACAAGATTTTTCGCTTAATGTTAACTATGCCAATTATACGAATAAATACCAACGGGTATCTTTTATACTGAATGATATTAAAAAATTGCGATACCTGGAAGTTATAGGTAAGAGAGGTAAGAGTTTATTTATATTGGTTATTATAAAAATACATTTTTCAGGCAGTCCAGAGGAGAGTGTGAAACAAATAAGTGACTACGAATATGACATATATATGAAATTAAACGTTCCTTTTCATGTGAAGCCTATAAAAGATGATCAGTTTCCAGGATTTGTGATGCTTTTTGCAGGGGATGGAGTTGAGCATAAAGCCGTAGTGAACGGCTATGTTAACCGCAAAGCCTTGGAAGACTGGCTCAAACTTGAAAATGGAGGCTCTTTGAAAATTCAAAAAGTTATAAATGAGGTAGAAACTACTTTTAATATTAAGCCAGTTTTTGAATTCAACTACACCGATTGGGTTTTGCCGGAGCCTGGATTACCAGATATTATCTATAAAACGCAGCCGTGGTATGCTTTACCGCAGGCGGTTGTACCTTTCGATTCGCGAACTTTTTTGGTATGGATGCCGCACTGGGAAAATATGCTAATGCGTATAAACAATTCCCAAAATGTATTCTACATAATGAAGGAGTTGTGTTACGTCAACCAGATGTCAGAGCTATCAGACGAAATCCTGAAGAAGGTCATATTAAAGCAATTACCGCTGAAATCTTCATGCACTTTGGATGATTTCCTGATAGACATGTGGAGGAAATTATGCGATTATTTGAAGGAAGCCAACTTGCCCAATTTCGTGCTCAACAATTTAAACCAATTTCGACATCTGAAGGAAGAAACTATTGAGACTTATCTACATGAAGCCGTTAATATTTTGGCAACGCTCGAAAAATGTAAGGCTGGTTCCTTTCTAGCTCTCGATACAATATGTAATGCGTTATGAGGAATGTTTTTTAAATGAGATTTAAAAGCACATGTTCTTGGAAATGTTCATTACAATTTCTTTCTTTTTAATTTAAATAAAAATGCCTATTATTGGAATACTTTGCATAACATACATACATACATACATATGTCTTTCAGAATGATCTTTTTATACGCTTGTAGATATTATTTGAGTTGTAATGAAATATGCAACGCATTGATTGAAACATCTTCGCGACTTTAGTTTTAAAGCTATGTATGTACATACATTATTGGAGAGTTACGTATGCTTTACAGCATACATGTGTATATACACATTTACATATGCATATATTTTCGAGATGCGCTATGTTCCTAAAAGTTGATCAAATGTTCGTTAACTTTTGACTGCAACATCATATGTATGTTTATGCACACTCATAAGCTATTCTCTGAAAACTTATACATATATATGTATGTATACATATACATATGTACATATCCATTTACTACAGTGGTGTGGATGTTTGTTAGTCTGCGGGTTTTGATCTTTCGCACATTCTTTATTGTGCACACATACGTACATATACATATATGAATGTATTCAGGCAGCTATAGAAATTCACTCTAATTCGCAGAAGTTGCGAGTTCTATGAAAAGTCAAAGAATGGATGAAATGAGCGTACATGCATATACACATGTACATATATGTACGTATGCATGTATGTCGGAATTTTTCCCAAATAATCTGTTCAGCTTTGGCGGCTTTGTCAAGCGACTCTGGTTTTTATTTCCGGGAAACCCCAGTATTAAACACAGGCAATTCATGCAAGATGTATGTATGCACATACATATGTACAAATGTATTTAAATACATGTGTTGCGAAAACATGTATGTATGTGCATAGAATGTATGTTTGCATTTATATGTGCATACATGCATACACTATGTTTCTTAAATGGCGCTCAGAGAGAATTCACAGTTCTGTATATACTATATGCACATACATTCACAAACATACATATGTTACATACGTATGATCAAATTTGCAGAGTAAGTTCAATTACATACATACATAAACGTATACACCAATATGCATACATATGCATTTTCATACATACATATGAACCGCGATGCGGTGCAACCCTGTGTTCGATAACGAATCAAAACCATGATGATATATGAAAACGTGGCCACCCCACAAAATCAAACTTCAGTTTTCTTTTGCAAGTGGCAGATCATTCGCTCTTGAAAGTGTGAAGCAAGAGGTTGTGTCTTTCGTAGCAAGAGAACCATTAAAATTCAAAATGGAATCATTAAATAAGATTTTACAAGATTTTTCGCTTAATGTTAACTATGCCAATTATACGAATAAATACCAACGGGTATCTTTTATACTGAATGATATTAAAAAATTGCGATACCTGGAAGTTATAGGTAAGAGAGGTAAGAGTTTATTTATATTGGTTATTATAAAAATACATTTTTCAGGCAGTCCAGAGGAGAGTGTGAAACAAATAAGTGACTACGAATATGACATATATATGAAATTAAACGTTCCTTTTCATGTGAAGCCTATAAAAGATGATCAGTTTCCAGGATTTGTGATGCTTTTTGCAGGGGATGGAGTTGAGCATAAAGCCGTAGTGAACGGCTATGTTAACCGCAAAGCCTTGGAAGACTGGCTCAAACTTGAAAATGGAGGCTCTTTGAAAATTCAAAAAGTTATAAATGAGGTAGAAACTACTTTTAATATTAAGCCAGTTTTTGAATTCAACTACACCGATTGGGTTTTGCCGGAGCCTGGATTACCAGATATTATCTATAAAACGCAGCCGTGGTATGCTTTACCGCAGGCGGTTGTACCTTTCGATTCGCGAACTTTTTTGGTATGGATGCCGCACTGGGAAAATATGCTAATGCGTATAAACAATTCCCAAAATGTATTCTACATAATGAAGGAGTTGTGTTACGTCAACCAGATGTCAGAGCTATCAGACGAAATCCTGAAGAAGGTCATATTAAAGCAATTACCGCTGAAATCTTCATGCACTTTGGTTGATTTCCTGATAGACATGTGGAGGAAATTATGCGATTATTTGAAGGAAGCCAACTTGCCCAATTTCGTGCTCAACAATTTAAACCAATTTCGACATCTGAAGGAAGAGACTATTGAGGCTTATCTACATGAAGCACTTAATATTTTGGCATCGCTCGAAAAATGTAAGGCTGGTTCCTCTCAAGCTCTCAAACAGTTAGGAGGAATAATGTTGTATCGCAAATGAGATTTAAAAGCACATCTTGGAAATGTTCATTACAATTTCTTTCTTTTTAATTTAAATAAAAATGCCTATTATTGGAATACTTTGCATAACATACATACATACATACATATGTCTATCAGAATGATCTTTTTATACGCTTGTAGATAGTATTTGAGTTGTAATGAAATATGCAACGCATTGATTGAAACATCTTCGCGACTTTAGTTTTAAAGCTATGTATGTACATACATTATTGGAGAGTTACGTATGCTTTACAGCATACATGTGTATATATACATATTTTCGAGATGCGCTATGTTCCTAAAAGTTGATCAAATGTTCGTTAACTTTTGACTGCAACATCATATGTATGTTAATGCACACTCATGAGCTATTCTCTGAAAACTTATACATATATATGTATGTATACATATACATATGTACATATCCATTTACTACATTGGTGTGGATGTTTGTTAGTCTGCGGGTTTTGATCTTTCGCACATTCTTTATTGTGCACACATACGTACATATACATATATGAATGTATTCAGACAGCTATAGAAATTCACTCTAATTCGCAGAAGTTGCGAGTTCTATGAAAAGTCAAAGAATGGATGAAATGAGCGTACATGCATATACACATGTACATATATGTACGTATGCATGTATGACGGAATTTTTCCCAAATAATCTGTTCAGCTTTGGCGACTTTATCAAGCGACTCTGGTTTTATTTCCGGGAAACCCCAGTAATAAACAGAGGCAATACATACATACATATGCACATACATACATATGTATGTATGTATTTGAATACATGTGTTGCGCAAACATGTACATATGTGCATGGAATGTATTTTTGCATATATGTACATACATATGTATGTATGTTACATACATTATGTTTCTTAAATGGCGATCAGAATGAGAAGTTGTAGATATGTACATATGTATATACATACATATGTGTACATACATGTTACGTATGTTATATTTATGATCAAATTTGCAGAGTTGGTCCAAGCAAACGTACACACTAACATACATTGTACATATGTTTATCCACACATACATATGTACACATGTATGTTTATCCACACATACACTTGAACATACATATGTATGTACATACATACATATGTCGCTGCCCTACTATTTCCAGAGCTTATTCATATCAATATTCTGCACACACATGCATTGTACATGTACAGAGTATTTTCTAGTGAAGCATTTTTTATGTTTACTCTTCGCTGTTTTTATTTTAATTTTTTTCTTCGCCGTTTTCAAGGCCTTTCGGCGGCTAAGAGTCGGCGATTTATTGAAGATTAGTCTTTTGTTGTTGTTGTTATTGTATAATATAATTCTCTTTGCTCAGCATGTACACATGTACACACCCACAATCACACACACGCACAGTCACATACGGAAATATATGTATGTACATTGAATATATATACATACATACATACGATCATCATCATCTCACGCATCATGTCGACAATTTTTCAGCTATGGCTCTGTGGGCGTAGACTTAGAGTTGACCTAATGTCAATTGTGGTTCAAAGAGTTGTCAGGTTTAGCTAGGCATTCAACCTGTTTCATCAGCCTCAATTACATCACAATTTAAACAGTGGACGAGGGGCAAGGGCGTGGATTGCTGTCGGAGGTCTCTATCAAGAGGGCATGGAATTGGGGGCATAGCCATACATGGATGTAAATACATACATACATATGTATGTATTTATGTATGAATGGACAGAATTGCACGCACATATATACATATATGTATAGTGTATATTCTTGAACCGTATCCAGAGCCAAGTCGATGTTCTACCTTTCATATCCACTTGTGTACATACATATACAAACATATGTACCTATGTAAGATATGTATGTAAAGACGGACTGCTACATATGTACATACATATGTATGTACATATATCATATAGATTCTAAACAAATCGGTCATTGCAAGGGTATTTATGTAGTCTTCCGGAATTTGTTAATAATACAACTTACAAAAGCATCTTAGAAAACAAAATATATGCATATACTCACATATGTACATACATATATGTATGTATTATTTATCAGAGTTCAACACATACCAATGCCCTCTGAACCAGGCATGAATTCGATTGTGTATATATTGTATGAATATATATTGTAAATAAACGTATAATCAATTTGGCATTTGCTTTGAGGAATTTCGGATGTAACTTTTTATGCAATTGGCATGCAACGATGCGAGATATTAATTACGTGATGAAATCATATTGTGTGTATCTTTCTAAGCATTTCAAGTGCATGCGATTTATGGCTAAGACTCTTTGAACAGCCCTCAAATGTCAAATGAAATGAAGTTAGATGGAATACCTTTTTCAATTTTTTAAATAAGGTGAGCTCAATTGGCTACACAAAAAAAATATGTATATAAAGAAATAAATTCATCGATATGCATTCAGAAGTAACCATAGAATACTGATGTATTTTTTTTTGAACATTAATAACTATTATATTTTCATCAAGAAATATCATCAGAATAAAATAAAGTTAGCCTGTTTTTGTACAAGTTTTTAATGGAGATTATTTTGCTAATAATTTGTTTTTAATCGAGTTCGATGTTGTATCGAGTATAGATTTTGGAATTGTGAAGTATCGATGTTGAAATTGTTAAGCCAACATCGATACTACGAGCTGGGATGCTGAGCTTATTTTTATAGTTGTAAGAAGTAGACCTTAATACATGGAAATGTATTGACATGAAGTAAAGATATAAAGAAAAATAATAAAAGAGAACAGACTTTACAAATTGTCGTGATCTAGTTCAATAGAAGAACTCTCATTGTTTGATATTTCGAACAAACCAGCATTGAACTAAAGCTGCATTGCAATAAAAGCCGACATTCTACTCTATTGAATATCTGTCATTTTACATTTAGCTATTTTTTTTAGCTTTTTTTTAAATTTACTTTTTATCGATTACATTAATCATAATATTTATTGTTTATTTTTCGATTATTCGATTATATTCTTTGGCTTTTCCTCGTTTTTCTGCGGCTTGACTCTCGACAGAAATGAAGAGTTCTCTCAGTGTGCGTTGATTACCTATATAAATATATATATATATATACATATATATTTTTCTTTACCTTAAAAATACCTGATGGACTGGATGCGGTGATTAGCGTTAATTGATTTCCTTGTTTTTTTTTTATTTATTTTTTAATTTGATTTCATTTGGATGTCAGCGCATTTGCGTACACTTTGGCGTTTGATGTTCGTGTTAAACTTATGATAATGCACATACGCAGTGTTGTAGAGTTGCAAAAGTATCTGTTGCAAACCCGTCTTAAATAGCCACAGCAGCAACAACAACAACAATAAAGACAACTACATGGCGTACTATTACGCAACTTTCGCTGTCAATTGGCATTGTTGTTGTTTCTGTTGCGTCTGCAGCTTGTGAAGTTCGAAATGAAGTCGACTTGTCGCGAATGATGGACATAAGCTGTAACTCGATACCCGACTGCAGAATACACTATCAAAGATTTGCAGCTTTTTGATCGACGTCCACAATTACTATTTCGACTTGACCCCAAAATAATAAAAGCTAAAAATTATGATGAACACTATCAAAACATTGTCATCAGCGAAATAAAATACTTGGCCGTTGGCGTTGCTTTTATATTTCTGGTTGTTGCTGTTGTTATACCCTGTAAATATTGCAAATGAATGCCAAACAGGGTATAATGATTATACGTACAGCTATTTATATGCGTATATATATATATATATCATATCATATATATGCATAGTCTTGATCAGGACTTGGTATCTTGCATTTTTTCATCAACTCGATCTTGGCTTTTTTCTTAGCATACAGCTGAGGTATGAAGCACGTAGTGGCAGTTCGTCTTTTGCTACAGGGTATCGCCAAGTCGGGCACTCTGGGCACGGGGCACGGGGCATGGGGCATGGCGTGCGCCAAGCATCGCTGACTATCATAAACATTGCCAGCGGCTCCGGTTGTGGCTCTGGCTGAGACTCTACTCCAAAATCGAAAAGCCAGTTCTGTTATGCACACTGGCCCCGCCGTGGGGAAGTGAAAAGCTGGCTGAGCAACACTGGGCCAACTGTCTGAGAGCTGCGACAACAACAACAACAAAAAACACAACAACCTCTTGATGTATGCAGATTCGTGATGCGTCTATTGTTTTGTAGATGAGACATAAGATTATGATAATATCTTAAGTAAGAGCTCGTATTTTTGGATAAATTCAAGAGTTGTTTCGCTTTTGTTTTATTATAAATAGATTAGTTAAATAACGGCTGCATTCCATGCTTTTTAACTGCCCATAACTCCGGCGAAATAAAGACTAAAATATTATTCTATTGATTGAATTGGGGTACAAAATTTCATTTGAATTCCTTTCACTTTCCAGTCCAACATCAAGTATTCCAAATCTGAAAGCTATTTCGATACGGATTACTATTTTGGGCGACAAAAGATATGCAGTTATTATTTCCATTTCCATTTTAATGGAGAAAACTGAAAAGCAGCCAATAGACATCGGCTAAGATTTCATATATGATGAATGAATGAATTTCCTCTTATGCATTTATTTGGCAATGGAATTTGTGCAGCTGGGCTGCTTTTTGGATAGCCGGGAAAACCGTGCGATAATTATCGATAAGCAAATGGCATGGAGCAGCTATCTAAATGGCCAAAGCGACCTGTTGGCCAAATGCGTTGACCAACACTTAACATTTCCTGAACATTTCCTGTACTTAACCGAACTTTGGCTGTGTATTGTATTGCACGAGCAGCTGTGCTTGGACTTCCGCTGCGCTGACAAATCGCCGCCAAATGACATAAGCACTGGGCCAACTCGGTAAAAAACCGAATCATGCTCATAAAAGGCAACAACTTGGGCTTTAGCGACCGCTTCCAGTTTGGCTTTTCACGGTCAATCGCCGCGCGTTAAGCAAATGCGAGAATTCGGTTTCAGTTTCAGTTTTTGTCGCTCTGTTTTTTTTTTTTTTTTGTTAGCAGCACCCACGCCACGTACATTTTTGCAGCTCACAGTTCAAGAGCTGCGAAATCGAGCAACAGCAAAATTACCTTATACTATGAAGTGTGTATCTTATAGCTTGTTTATGTCATAGATAAATAGGTAAGATCACGAACTTTAATTTTTGAGTGTGAATTTTATAGAATTTTTATTTTATAGAGTGCGTACCTTTCAGAGCGTGTATCTGACAGACTGTGTATCTTTGAGAACGTGTATCTTGTAGATCGCTATTCTCTTAACATGTATGTTATAGATAATAAACATTCACACTTGCATCTAAGTTGAACGATTTAATCTCACATCTATCGTGTGTATCTAGTTTGTATCTTATAGATGCGAGTATTTTAAAGAACACATTTAATTTGTATCTCTCATGTTTTGTTACTTGTAGATAGTGTCTCGTAAGGTGTCTGTATGTTATACTTACATACCTTTGACACTTGCAGCTAATGCTCATGACCTTAGCTTCTAAAGTTTGTAGCTCATAGAGCGCGTATCTTATAGATACATGCGTATATTTATACACATATACATATATATAGTATAGCCCATTGACACTTGCATTAATTTAAAGTTTAAGCTAAATAAAATTAATGGCAACAAATGCGCAAAACGCTTAAACGTGTGCGAATTGTTTGTCTGGGTCTGTGTATATGTGAGTGTGTGCTTGTCGTGTGTGTGTGTGTGTGTGTAAATGTATACCAATGCACGATTGTGGGCTACAAAAACTGGCTTACCTTCTCTGCTCATTGTTGTACAGTCAACTGTTGTCGTCGTTGTTGTTGTCGTTGTTGTTGTTGTTGCTGCTGCTATTGTTTCGCTTATTTATTGTTAACGCTTTGCCAGCGACAACGACAGGTTGTTAGTATTTCGATATCTTTGCTGTTGTTGTTATTGCTGTTGCACACATTTCATTGCACTGTCACATCACTGCGGGGAAAATGCAAATATATATAGATACACATATACGTACGGATAGAGATACAAGCGGGTATGCTCAAAATATATATTTTTTTTGTCGCCCGTGGGAAAATTATAAAATAATCGTACAATCCTGGATAAACCACCTTTCAATCAGTCGAATGTTTTTAAATTTTCATTTTCCACTTATTTTCCACACTTGCGAGTGAAATACGAAGCTTAACTATGCAGCTTTCAAGCTTTCAAGCTTTGGGTTATGCGTTAATTATCAATCAGACAGAACAGTCAATCAATCAGTCAGTCAGTCAGCACAGACAGCTTAATGTATATACGTTTATATAGCTCTATATATGTTTATAGATAAATATGTATTAAAAATGTATCAATGACGTCTTTATTTAAGCAAATGCGTTGGTGTTGCCACAGTCTGTCTGGGCGTGTGTGTGTGTTGGCTTACTGGTTCTGGCCAAAACGATTGCCAACACACTCACACACACACACACGCACGCTCAACAGACACACACACATGTGTGTGATATAATCGCTTGGCATGAATGAAAGGCGTTGCAGATTTTCACACAACATTTACAGGCAGCCAGCGGGGCAGGGCAGGGCAGAGGGGCGTTGCGGGGGCATGGCGGGGGCTGTCAGCCAACAATGGGCAAAGAGAGCCAAACTCATTTTTTTTTTTCAGTTTTTTTCAGCCAAATCGGCCATAATCTTGGCTAAGGCTAATAATAGCAGCAGGTTTTTGGCTTGGCTCAAGCTGAGTTATGCGCCTACACACACACACACACACACACACATTCACACGCCCACAAAGGGCAGCGCTTGTTAGAAGTATTTGCTGTACAGTGTACGCTATTTAACACATTTTTTGTTTTTTCTCGCTCGACACTCGCTCAAGCGCTCAAATCGCCAAATTCGTATGACACTCACGTAATACGCTAAAAATAGTTGAATATATATGTATATGTATTTATATATGTGTTTTTTTCGAGTTTTTTTTGTAATTTTAATTTCTTGTTATTGTATTGGTGTGTATTGTGTATTTGTATTCGTCGTGTGTTTGAAGCGCGGCTGCGAGGCGCACGCGTCGCGATTTCAGCTCGAACTGATCCAGCGCTGAGCGAAGCGCACCTGCGTTTGGCCTAAACTGGTCGAAATTGGTCTAAAAATGTAGCCAAAACCTGTTTTAGAGCAGCGATCAGCTCACCTGAGAGAGGCACCTGAGAGAGCACGTAAGAGAGAGAGAGAGAGGGAGAGAGGCAGAGCGAGAGATTGAGTGCGCGTCGCTGGGTCTGCACTTTGCACTTTGCTGCCACATTTTGTTGTCAAACTGCATTTAATAACCGTTAACCGAAAGTTCTGCAACACGTGCACCCGGTGGGGATGGATGAGCGGTGGAGGAGGGGGGGGGGGGGTGTTACTCGTAACGGGGCAGTGCTCACCTTTCACGCCCGGGCACAAGCCGGAACACGGGCCACTTCATTAGACGCTCTGGTTGTCAGCGCGCAACACTCGACCAGCTGCCGCACGTGACTTGCAACGCGACGCAGCGCAACGGAGGGGGCAGGAGGGGGGAAGGGTGGGCGGCTGGGTGGAAAAGCGTCATCAGGCTTAACGTCTAATTTGCATCGCGGCGGCGGCTGCCTGGCCAAAGTCATTACGAAAAATGCCAACGGATGGCAACGACAATGAGCACAGCCCCTCCCCCCTTCCCCTCCCCCTACCATCACTCTCTGTGTGTGTTTGTTGGTGTGTGTAAATATTGACCACACTTGCAGCAGTTTAATGCAGCATCAGTGACTACCCCACAAGCCAGCTGCAGGCATGTAAATAAAAATTCCCATTCAAATTTATGCGAACAGCTCGCGGGCAAAACCGCAAAAAAAAGAAGAGGAAAAACATGAAAAAAAGCGGTAGACGGAGGGGCGGACGGAGGGACGGATGGACAAATGGTGGTTAAAATAATATGGCGTAGTTTATAGTTCCGGCTACACTGGGCAAAATAAAGCAGAAAAAGAAGCAGAAAAAGAGCTTGAATATAGAAAAAATACTTCTTGATTCTTGCCACAATGGATATGAGAGTGTATACATATAGTTAAAAGAAAATAGTTATTTTGACTGGATTAAATATCTTAAATGGTCTCACTGTTAACTTCATCTCGAATATCAATTGGGCTCTCTTCTGGGCTTATTCGAGTATAGATTCCGAGCCTTCAGCTTATTCATATGGACAGACAGACTGACAAAAACTATATACTCTTTATCAAATTGTAACCGGAACAGAGCCAGAAAGCTGAAATGTTTACCTTATTAGATGGAGGTGCACGCCATGATGGGATTTTCCGGGTAATTTCACCTTCAAGTGTGGAAAAATCGCGAAAAACGAACATGTGAAACTTTTTAGCTTATCATTCGAAAGGCCTTAAACTCATTTTCAAAGATCTTTGTGAAAAATTAAGTCAATACTCATTGTAGCAAAATTCGCAAAATTCTTTTGAATTAAAAAAAGTTAATTTTTCGCTTCAAGATGCTAACCACAAGACTAACATGGGCGGAAACCGTTGATAACAACTTTTTGTTCTCTATGCGATGGTTCCAAGATCTATGTATATTATATACCAAATTTCTTAATAAACAAAATATATATAAAAAAAAAAAAAAAAATGTATATTATAACCTAAGACGTGAAGTTCAAAATAGTAGGTGTAGGTAAGAGGTAGGTTCTATACCTATAGGTGGAAAACGAGTGAAAAAGCTATGTCCTAAATGTGTAGCACAATACTTATCACGGGCAAGGCCGGGCAATACCCGCTAGTATCACAATTGGTTCTAAAAAAGGAAATATATTTTTGTACAAAAAAAAAAACCCAAAATTCCATAAATGAATTCACAGTTTAAATCAATTTAAAAAGTGTTATGGGAGACCGAAATGTGGTCAACAGGAATAAAAAATGTCAGCTTCTTTTACCCATGTCAGCCTTTAAGCTAGTACAAGCGAGCTTATATGCTCATTTTCTCTCAGTGCAGCCAATTTATCTTTTGGACTATTCTCCTCCTCCTCCTCCTCCTTCTCTTGTTCTCTTTTACTCCGATTTAATGCAGCGAAAAAATATGCATAACTATAACTTAAATTGCAGCTTTTATTTGTGGCTTAGCAAAAGTTGTCGCGTCTGCAAGGTTGCCACAACGTCAATGCCACAATTTGCCGTGGGCTGTGCGTGTGTGTGTGCGTGTGTGCGTGTGTGTGTGCGTGGGCAATTGCCATTGTCACAGCGACAGCTGCGTGTGCAGTGGCATAGCTGGGGACGAGTCCGAGTCCGAACGCCCTAACGGCGCGTAAGGTACATGTGTGGCATGCCTCAAGTGGCAGGCACTTGTACATATTTTGCCAGGTCAGAACTTTGTGAGCTTTTCTCTGTTTATCTGTTGTGCTTTTTTTTTTTGGTTTTTACTCTCTTTTTCGCTTAAAGAAAGTCGTAAAAACTTTGTCATAAAAGTTGCATAAAACTATAGAGATTTTTCTTTCTTGAACAATGTGTTGCACACACTGCGGCATGTATGTATATATATATATATCTGGGTACTTGCAACTTTAAGACTGGGCGGCGCATTAACTTTTTAGCTTTGACGATGCGTCAAATGGCAAATCATTTGCACGTCATGTGTAGGCGGCAATCAGAGGGTGAGAGAAAGGGAGAGAGGAGGGGGGGGGGGCTGAGCGAATCAACTGCGACGTGAACTTGCCGCTTGGCATGTGTCTCGGCCTGGATTTAATTTAGATAAAAGCTTTGCAACCACCCTCAGACCACAGATAATGCACTGGAAATCAATTCCATAAACACTTGCCACAACCTTTGCCAGCGACGACAATTTATTTTCATGCAACCACCTCCTCCACCCAACCCCACACACACACACACACTCCCTTTAACCGTATTAAACCCATTGAAATTGAGGCAAGTCGTTTAAACTTGTACGCAGATTCAAGCTAATTTCTTTGCAGCAAAGTCTGATTTTTATACACGTATAAACAAGGCAGCAAACGGCCAGAAAAAAGTGACTTAAATAGTAAGATTAATAATAATAATAAGGAATAATAATAGCAATAATTCTAACAAAATTAATAATAAAAATAATAACAATAAAAATAATAACAATAATAATAATAATAATAATAATAATAATAATTATAATAAGATTAATAAAAATTATAACAATAATAATAATAATAATAATAATAATAATAATAATAATAATAATAATAATAATAATAATAACAATAATACAAATAATAATAATAATACGAATAAAAATAATAACAAAAAAATAACAATTAAGGTTATAACAATACTAGTAATAATATTAATCATAAAAATAATAAGGATAATAATTTTAATAATAAATAAATTAATAATAACAATAATAATATTAATATTATTAATATTATTAATAATAATATAAACAAGAATAACAATAATAATAATCATAATGATAATAATAATAAAATTAATAATAACAATAATAATAACTATAATAATACTAATAATATTTAAAACAATAAAAATATCATTATAGATAAATATTATATATAAATATTATAGAAATGTTATATAACTATTGTTATTTTGTTTGAATATGTATTTATTTATACATATTTCTATGTACTTACCCAAATTGATTAGCTACGCATAAATATTGTTTGGAAGCTTTAAAAAAATGCCTAATTTTTTTTTATAGTAAATAAAATAGCATTTAAATATTCATTGACATTTATTGATTGAATTTGATAAGGTTTTTTTTTGTTTTTTTTTTTGTTTGCTGCAGCATGGTTTTTTTGTTTTGATTTGTTTTGTTTTTCGTTTTGCACATACATTAATGATGTATTTAAGTTAGATTTTAAATTGTTTTTCTTTTGGTTGATTTGCTTTGATTATGCTTTTGTTGCTGCTGTTGATGTTACTTTTAAAACTGTTGCACACACACTTATCGTTAGTTAAGAGTTGTGGATTTTTCGCTATTTAGTTAAAATTTTAAATATTCCATATATTTAATTAGAGTTTAGGAACCTGTACGTGGCTCTTTAGGAGTTCTCATACACATAAAGCACACATTTAAAAATGATATAGTATCTGTCTCTAACTGTCGCTAGTTTAGCTAGGTTTTGTTTTTGTTTTTTGCTATATTATTATCTCGGCGGTAAACGTTTGCTTTTGTCTTTGGCTTATAAGTAAAATATTTGTATAAACCATAAAATAAATAACATTTTTATAATGTCTCTGAGTGTGTGTGTGTGTGTATAATTTGTATAGGTAAATCAGGACTGAATGCTCGGTAAATAATCAAAAATAGTTTTCTATACAAGTTTGCCTTCATTGTTTGTTGTCATCTTTTGTTGCTTGTATATAGCATTCATATGTTTGTTTTTGTATAAGTTCTTTATATAGTATAATTTTGTAGGAGGGCTTATTGTAGGTTCTTGTTGCATTTGTAACCAGCTTAACAATTCTATATTTCATATTTTTCCACACAATATTCCTTTAACTTTTCTTTTGGCCTTGGCTTAGCATATTTGCATACAATTTAATATGTGCTCGGTTCTGATCTCTTCTCATTTTATCTTTTTGTAAATGCCTTTGGTCTCTTGGTTTGGCCAATTTTTGCATTTTTTTTTTGTAAGGTTTATTTTGCTTTTATATTCGTTTTTCGGGGTTTTGCAATAAATTGTTATCTAGTGCTCGTTATTTTATGTAATATGCATAATTTGATTTGATTTATTCTTGCTGTGTGTGTGTCTGTGTGTTTCTTTATACGATATAGGAAATTATTATAGATAGGTACACATATCATCAACACAGTAGTTGGTTACTTTACTTAGTTTAGCAAACATGTTGCCTATTTATTGTTTATATGCATATATTTACTTAAGGTATACGTTTCTTTAATTAACTATTTGTTACTGAGGACTGGAAGAGAGCAGTTATTCCAAGGGAGGAGAGCTTAGAGTGGAACAGTGGAAAGCGGGACAGTTGAAAGTGGATCTGTTGCAAGTGAAGCAGCTGGGAATGAAACAATTGCTAGAGAAACAGCTGG